GTACTGGTACAACCTGTGTATGTTGGCCCTATAATGGCGTAAATGTCTGTCCAACGTAAAAATCATATTTCCTCCAGTCCTGGTACAACCTGTGTATGTTGGCCCTGTAATGGCGTAAATGTCTGTCCAACGTAAAAATCATATTTCCTCCAGTACTGGTACAACCTGTGTATGTTGGCCCTGTAATGGCGTAAATGTCTGTCCAACGTAAAAATCATATTTCCTCCTGTCCTGGTACAACCTGTGTATGTTGGCCCTGTAATGGCGTAAATGTCTGTCCAACGTAAAAATCATATTTCCTCCAGTACTGGTACAACCTGTGTATGTTGGCCCTATAATGGCGTAAATGTCTGTCCAACGTAAAAATCATATTTCCTCCAGTCCTGGTACAACCTGTGTATGTTGGCCCTGTAATGGCGTAAATGTCTGTCCAACGTAAAAATCATATTTCCTCCTGTCCTGGTACAACCTGTGTATGTTGGCCCTGTAATGGCGTAAATGTCTGTCCAACGTAAAAATCATATTTCCTCCAGTACTGGTACAACCTGTGTATGTTGGCCCTGTAATGGCGTAAATGTCTGTCCAACGTAAAAATCATATTTCCTCCTGTCCTGGTACAACCTGTGTATGTTGGCCCTGTAATGGCGTAAATGTCTGTCCAACGTAAAAATCATATTTCCTCCAGTACTGGTACAACCTGTGTATGTTGGCCCTGTAATGGCGTAAATGTCTGTCCAACGTAAAAATCATATTTCCTCCTGTCCTGGTACAACCTGTGTATGTTGGCCCTGTAATGGCGTAAATGTCTGTCCAACGTAAAAATCATATTTCCTCCAGTACTGGTACAACCTGTGTATGTTGGCCCTATAATGGCGTAAATGTCTGTCCAACGTAAAAATCATATTTCCTCCAGTCCTGGTACAACCTGTGTATGTTGGCCCTGTAATGGCGTAAATGTCTGTCCAACGTAAAAATCATATTTCCTCCAGTACTGGTACAACCTGTGTATGTTGGCCCTATAATGGCGTAAATGTCTGTCCAACGTAAAAATCATATTTCCTCCTGTCCTGGTACAACCTGTGTATGTTGGCCCTGTAATGGCGTAAATGTCTGTCCAACGTAAAAATCATATTTCCTCCAGTACTGGTACAACCTGTGTATGTTGGCCCTATAATGGCGTAAATGTCTGTCCAACGTAAAAATCATATTTCCTCCAGTCCTGGTACAACCTGTGTATGTTGGCCCTGTAATGGCGTAAATGTCTGTCCAACGTAAAAATCATATTTCCTCCAGTACTGGTACAACCTGTGTATGTTGGCCCTGTAATGGCGTAAATGTCTGTCCAACGTAAAAATCATATTTCCTCCTGTCCTGGTACAACCTGTGTATGTTGGCCCTGTAATGGCGTAAATGTCTGTCCAACGTAAAAATCATATTTCCTCCAGTACTGGTACAACCTGTGTATGTTGGCCCTATAATGGCGTAAATGTCTGTCCAACGTAAAAATCATATTTCCTCCAGTCCTGGTACAACCTGTGTATGTTGGCCCTGTAATGGCGTAAATGTCTGTCCAACGTAAAAATCATATTTCCTCCTGTCCTGGTACAACCTGTGTATGTTGGCCCTGTAATGGCGTAAATGTCTGTCCAACGTAAAAATCATATTTCCTCCAGTACTGGTACAACCTGTGTATGTTGGCCCTATAATGGCGTAAATGTCTGTCCAACGTAAAAATCATATTTCCTCCTGTCCTGGTACAACCTGTGTATGTTGGCCCTGTAATGGCGTAAATGTCTGTCCAACGTAAAAATCATATTTCCTCCAGTACTGGTACAACCTGTGTATGTTGGCCCTATAATGGCGTAAATGTCTGTCCAACGTAAAAATCATATTTCCTCCAGTCCTGGTACAACCTGTGTATGTTGGCCCTGTAATGGCGTAAATGTCTGTCCAACGTAAAAATCATATTTCCTCCAGTACTGGTACAACCTGTGTATGTTGGCCCTATAATGGCGTAAATGTCTGTCCAACGTAAAAATCATATTTCCTCCAGTCCTGGTACAACCTGTGTATGTTGGCCCTGTAATGGCATAAATGTCAGTACAACGTAAAAACCATATTTCCTCCAGTCCTGGTACAACCTGTGTGTATGTTGGCCCTATAAAGGCGTAAATGTCTGTCCAACGTAAAAGTCATATTTCCTCCAGTCCTGGTACAACCTATGTATCTTGGCCATGTAATGGCGTAAATGTCTGTCCAACCTAAAAGATATATTTCCTCCAGTACTGGTACAACCTGTGTATGTTGGCCCTATAATAGCGTAAATGTCTGCCCAACGTAAAAATCATATTTCCTCCAGTCCTAGTACAACCTGTGTATGTTGGCCCTATAATGGCGTAAATGTCTGTCCAACGTAAAAATCGTATTCCTCCAGTACTGGTACAACCTGTGTATGTTGGCCCTATAATGGGGTATTGTCTACCCGACATGGAAATCATATTTCCCCAAGTTCTGGTACAACCTGTGTATGTTGGCCCTATAATAGCGTAAATGTCTGCCCAACGTAAAAATCATATTTCCTCCAGTCCTGGTACAACCTGTGTATGTTGGCCCTGTTCATGGCGTAATGTCTGTCCAACGTTGAAATCATATTCCCCCCAGTACTGGTACAACCTGTGTATGTTGGCCCTGTTTATGGCGTAATGTCTGTCCAACGTTGAAATCATATTCCCTCGAGTACTAGTACTGGTACAACCTGTGTGTGTTGGCCCTATAATGGTGTAAATGTCTGCCCAACGTAAAAATCATATTTCCTCGAGCACTGGTACAACCTGTGTATGTTGGCCCTGTAATGGCGTAATGTCTGTCCAACGTGGAATTCCTATTCCCCCAGTACTGGTACAACTTGTGTATGTTGGCCATATAATTAAATGTCTATATGACGGAAATGCCATTGCTCGGTCGCACTTAAGGATCTTCGTTCCATTGCCAACATATGTAATTAAGTAATAAAAGCTGTTTTTCCAGCATGACTATATCTTTGATAAATCATTTCTGAAAAGAAACCCATACCTTCCGGTATTTTTATGAGAAATAATAAAGATGCAAAATAACAAAAAGTATAATAAACATCAGCGTGCTAAAAGTAAAATATATTCAGCGGCATTAGACAGAGAGATTCGAACCCTAGACTTGATAAACCATTTATCTATGTTTTAACCGACTGTGCCATAGTAATATTTACACGGAAGTTAATGGGAGATTACTGTGTGAACGGAAATGTGTACAGTGGAACTGTCTATGCTTTGCCTGCGATTCGAAGGGGAGATACTTAAAATCAAACGTTTATTTGAAAAGTATTTGATTTCAGTGCTATATGCATTGGAGAACGCGAGGTATGGATATGGGCTCGATATGAATGAATATGTACATGTCAATAGGTAGACATATGTTGTCTTAATACCTAGAAGAATTTCCATGTAGTGTAGACATCGGGTCATTAAGGGGCCAACATTCACAGGTTGTACCAGTATTGGAGTGATTTAATATCTATGTAGTGTAGACAGCGGGTCATTATAAGGCAAGCATTATCAGTACTGGAGTGATTGAATTTCCATGTAGTGTAGACATCGGGTCATTATGGGGCCTACATACACAGGTTGCACTAGTACTGGAGTGATTGAATTTCCATGTAGTGTAGACATCGGGTCATTGTGGGGCCTACATACACAGGTTGTACTAGTATTGAAATGATTTAATGTCCATGTAGTGTAGACATCGGGTCATTATGGGGCCTACATACACAGGTTGTACTAGTATTGGAGTGATTGATCTCCATGTAGTGTAGACATCGGGCCATTATGGGGCCAACATTCACAGGTTGTACCAGTACTGGAGTGATTTTATGTCCATGTAGTGTAGACATCGGGTCATTATGGGGCCTACATACACAGGGTGTACTAGTATTGAAATGATTTAATGGCCATGTAGTGTAGACATCGGGGCATTAAGGGGCCAACATTCACAGGTTGAACAAGTATTGGAGTGATTGATCTCCATGTAGGGTAGACATCGGGCCATCAAGGGTCCTACATACACAGGTTGTCCTAGTATTGAAATGATTTAATGTCCATGTAGCGTAGACATCGGGTCAGTAAGGGGCCAACATTCACAGGTTGTACAAGTATTGGAGTGATTGATCTCCATGTAGGGTAGACATCGGGCCATTAAGGGTCCTACATACACAGGTTGTACTAGTACTGGAGAGAATATGAAGACATCTCCATCAACCACGGTAGTAGTATCTCTTTGAAACCCCAAAGGATGTGTCAGGAAGGAAGTAACAGTAAGATGACGTCAGATCTTCAGTGACGCGCAATAAGGTTTTTACGTAACGTTCCATTATTTTCCCACTGAGTTATATGTGTTCACATTTCCTTCATTAAATTATTCTGACTTCGTTTTTCGTTCCATTTTGATTAAATTTTGAACATTTCTTCACTTTGACGACGCAAAGAATTTCGACTAGACAAAAAAACATGAACAAAAGTATGATGGCACTATTCGTCAATAAAATATATTGATTATTTAAAAAAAATATACTATACACCTATTCCATAAGTATATTACTATAGGTGTGACTATACAAGCGTCCGTAGCGGTTCACTTTCCAATTCCGACCATCCAAAGGTCCTCCCATTGGCAGGCAATCCAATCGTAGTACATTTTGTTTTGCTTCCTTTTTGTTTATTATAAATGTGTCAAATAACATGCTCTGATAAAGATATTTTAAAATATTTACGGTCATTAATATCTACATACAAAGCTTGAAATACTGATCACTTTGTTAAAAAGAAAGTCGATCAGTTCTTATATAAAACCAACATATGTACAACTATATGAAGAAATTTGAGGAAACTTATTTTTTTCGACATAAGCAGAATTTCGTTCAAAAAAAGACAAATTTGACGAGTCTGAACACATAAGCAACACACGTATATGCAGAAGTATCAGAAAACTTCCTGTTTTATTGAAATAAAAAAACATTTCGTTAAAAAGAAGACAAATTTGATGAGGCTTTACATAAAACCTACATACGTATAAATGTAATTGTATTTAATTGAATAATAATTGACGAAGACTTAAAGCCTATAGGTTCAACAAATATTTAACAAAATAGTCTGTCGGAGTGTCAATAACAAGATTATAAATATATAAGCACGATGATTCTCTGTTTCACATATCATATATTGTTTCTGTTAATTGTTTTTACACTAAACCTCCAAACTCCCTAATTGTTTGAACTTTAACAATATGTACAGGTATTTTATTCCACACATTTATTACATTAAATGTGAATGAAGTGTCCAGGCCCTTCCACATCCCTGTCGTGGCGTGACTGTCTCCACGAAGAGTCTGAGCCGGTTGAGAAGAGTCCGTGACGCGAACCGTGAGAAAGGAAGTATATATAAGTTTTAATGACCCAAACTGCATGGTCCTCATCACTCGAACTATACAAGAGGTTAACAACCTACTTCCGGTTTCAAATATATTCGAATTTCCGGTTCGTAAAATTACTCCTTAAAAAACGTTTACGCATTGACAATATGTTACAACCATTTAGCATATGCCTAACAGCCTAGAACAGTTCAGTGTGTATCATATTATAAACTTATCATTTGAGCAACTATTTTAGGATGCAAATAGCATGCCCCGATATAGATATTTTAAACTGGTTACGTATATAAATGAATGAGGAAGTATCAAGAAACTTATTTTTATCGAAATAAATGAAATTACGTTTAATAAAAAGTCTTTTCATTTACTACTCTAAATGTGTATCAGTTTCTCCTTAACTCCGTGTTGCATCAATTTGTGTACATTTTGTGCTTATGACCTCGTGTTCTGCTATTTATATCGAGGTAAAAAAAGTGAAAATGACTCTTTCATGAAATAGATTGATAATTATTTTAAAAACTGTTATTAAATCCCCTCTCATTCTGCGGTAGCTGTAGTTCTTTCAGACGCTCTTCGTAGGAAGGTTCTCTACATCCTGGTACAAGCTTACTTTTGTTGAAAAAGATATATTTGACGAGTCTTTATATAAAAGTAATATATGTTTTAATCCTAGGTTTGAAGAAATTGACTTGTCTTCGAGGTAAAAGCCACTGTGTTAAGAACATTTAATTTGATGAGTCTTTACAGAAAATCAACATATGTACATGCATAAATAAGAAGTTTAAAAAACATTGCTTTTTCGAGATAGAGACCACTTTGTTAAAAAAGAAATAACTTGATGAATCTTATATAACATGCATATGAGTTAGATGAGGAAATTTGTTGCTTTCGAAGTCCATTTTGATAAACAGCAACTAGACGAATCTTTACATAAAACCTACAAAAGTATAAATAATAGATTGCAAAAAGTTGACTTTTTTTAAATAAAAGCCTCAGTGTTAAAAGAAATGATAAAATAGATTTTACTAAAAATTAATATTTGATCGTAAGACATGAATGCAATCGTAATGACCAAGTAGATTATATTATGGTTGTCACACGTTATAGCTAAGTTTGTCTGTTTGTATATTACAACTGTGCTGTTCTCCCTTTGTAGATTCCATGCATGAATTCATTTGCCACCGCCTTCTCCCACAAAACCAGAGAGTTGCATTTCTTGTCATTCACTGGATCTGTGTATATACATAAGATATAAATAAAGATATATTACTTTGTTACATTAAAGCGAACACAAAAACGTTAAAAAATCATTCAGATTTTTAATACACGAGGAACGAACATAATGAGCTATATGGAGATTTAAAACGCTCTTGGATACGACATAAAGTAGTTATCGAAGAAAAAAAATAATGTACATGGGGGCGATTTGTTCCACCTACACACTAATATAAGAAATGTGTTATTGTATCTTTTGCGTGTTCAAATCAACGCAAATACTTTGTTAAAAGGTTGACACGAATATAATTCTTATAGAAAAATAAGTGCCTATCAGTAAGGTCCAAATATTACGGCTTAGAAAAAAAAAGTAATTTTTACACTATTCCCCCATCACTATCTTCTAAAGTTTTGAACTGATTATCATCATTTAGAGTTCCCCCGTAAGCAGAAGAGAGAATCCCCGTAAGCACATAAGAACGACAACCAGTGTCCAGTTGTTCAAATGGTGATTAGCTTAATCAGCGCAAATTTGATTTTTGGTGTATCTTTAAAACGCAACCATTCACTGAGTTAAACTTTTCCATTATATCACATCAGAGTAAAGTACATGCAAAACACATAGGCTTTACTTTGTATATTGACCAAATAATGAGAGATTGAAAAATGTCGTTAAACAATGATTAAGCTTATCACTTTTTGAACAACTGGGCCCAGAAATAAATTAAAAAGAAGAAAAGGATACGGAAGCGAAATATAATGTTATAGAAGGGGAATGCGGTCAAGCGTGAATATCAATCACATATTACTGTAAACGTTCTTATTTTAGCGCATTCGAATATTAGCGCACTATCGAATAAGCTATTAATGTATGATTTTGCGCACAGCAATGTACGCATAAAATATGAGCGTTAACTTTATGTTCGTTTTTTTATTTTTTTTTTATTTTTTTATTTTTTTTAGAGATTGTACAACACAGATAATTAATAAATAAATAAATAATATAAATACAACTCACCAGTGCGGGGAGCTGCTTCGTAATCATCCTTCCTACTTCTTCTACATTTCTTGCAGGGCCAGCAGCAGCAAACCATTGTAAACAGTTTTGATATAAGTATGAACGGCAGAGGCATCCGCGGACGGCTAGAGCATTCGTGAATGAGTGTGAATCGCTGATAGCACCAGTGCAGATGTGTTTCAGCTTGTACTTTCGCATACGAGTTACTGAAAAGAAAGGAGGAAAACATACAAAACATAATAGGGGTAGCATAACGACTTGGTAATTTGTTTAATAAATATGTTAGGCGTTTTTATTGCACGTTTGTAAAGATGCAAATGTAACATGCAACCTTTATAACGCAATTTTTAGCAACAAATCGGTTTTTACAATATTTTTTTAAAGAGAATCTTATCGAATCAAAAACAACTATGTTGAATACTGCCAAAGTACAAATATTCGCTATTTTTCATTTAATATATTTATTATTAATACTTTCCATGTGAAAATATTACACCCGAATTTAGTAAGACACAATGAGATTTTTTTGTAAAAAAACAAAAATGTCCGTCCTCCGATTAGTCGGCCAAACCAACATGCAAAAATACTTTCTTCAGTATTGCTAATTAACGATTATTACACTGTGTTTTCAGGGCGAGCCACGTGCGAGTGTTGAGACAAACCCTAAAAACACAGTGTACTAATTCGCATTGCGAGTACGTGGATAAAATCGACAGGCCACCGCTGGTGGACTCGAGAGTTTATCCACGTGCGAGCGATGAGAAAAGTATGCTAACGACATACCCTTAAATAGTATGTGATACTGTCTTTATCATCTAAATACACTGCAATACTACCTTATATATTTCTACGTTCATAAAAAGTTAACTAAACACCGTATTTTCCAAATGACTTATATGCGAAATGGTCATCGATCTGAAAACCTTCGGTTGGTGACAAACGTAAACAAATAAAAAAAAATTGCGCGGAGGAATACCATGAACCTTAAAAGGATGTAGAACAATTATTTTTGAAACAATCTTATCGTCATTAGCATTTCCATATGTATACTTAAGTTAAAATGGTGTTGTTCTCTCAAGATTGTTTCGTTACTTTATATTGATTTGTTTATGAGGGAATATTTTCTTACTCGGTTTACTTTTGTATGGATGCTATTTTCCGACTAAGGCCCTCACTTGGCGAGAGTAGACGTCCTTTTTTTGAGAACATACGTTGTCAAATACCGGGAAATGGGGAAATCCGTTCTCAAGTTGTTCCCTTTTGTTTTCAACTCGTTATCAACTTCTTCTTAAGTAATCTCATACTGACAACCCGTGATAATGAAATTATCATGCTACCGTTAGGTGGTATAAAGTAGTATATAGATGATAAGAAAACAAATACCTACCTAAACATTGCGATGAGCAGATTTAGTAGTAAGATGCTTGCAAACATCATATATATTCCCATAAGTAAAGGTACCAAGTAAGTTCCGATCGTCGTGGGACAACGAGGAAGGGTACCATTCTCGTAGAGGAATCGGTCGAAGGTGCAGTCCGGCTCTTTGACTTCAAAAGGTTGTTATTAATTTTGAGAACATTGATTCAACTTCGTGAGCAAATTTTTGATATTTTAATTAAGAAAAAACATATGTACTAATATGTCAAAGAGGGCGTTATAGAAATAAATCTAAATGTAAATTTAATTGCAAAGTTAAGTGAAAAATAAATTGAAAAATACTGTAATTCATAACAAGAAATTACACTAACAAGGAATAATATAACTATATAAACAAATTTGTCATATTAGTTAGAATGCTTTTCTTACGTTCAAGGACTTCCAGATTCAGTTCCCCATACAGATTCCAATACGGGATGCGGAGTAGATTGAAGACAAGATCCCCATCAATCCTTGAGGCAGGGTATAGGTTGGCATAAGCTGCTATGGCATACGTTATCACGCAAACCGACAGAATCGCCAAAAAGGAAAGCAGGTCAAAGAACTAAAACCAAACAAAGGCGATAACTTTGAAAATTGAAGAGGTAAAACTAAAAACAATCTGTAGCCTTAAGCCAATTGCTTACTCAAGTCCCCCTTTTCTCCATAACAACGCCACATTGAAAAAACTCGAATAGAAAGTATGTCAAAGATATTATCAGCTATTATCAATACACATTAAGTATCATTGTCATTGCTCCAACAGAATCAGAGATAATTCGTTCTTGTGGTATAAAAGGGCAATAACTGCATGGGCGGGGGGGGGNAAGAAGACGAAGAAGTAGGAGCAGGAGGGTGATGTGTGTATATAACTATTCTCACCATTTTCGTTATCATCTGCAGCTGTGGTCCAATTTTCTCATGAAATGAAAACAGTCCAATCAGACTTAGACACAGACTTATAAATGAGAAGGAACATGTCATGCGTCCAAGTCCCGGTGAAACAACCCTCGGTTCTAGCAGGAACAAGCAAAACCCACAAACGAAGAGGATGACTCTAGAAATGTCGAAATAAGTCCATTTATCTTGAAAATATATTTCAGGACCCGTTGACTTCAACTGCAAAGACATATGCATACAAATGCAAATATATCGTGTATCTTGGTATCAAGATGTAACAAAAATACGCGGTAAATACATGGTAATAAGCGGAATTATCTCAAAATAGTAATAAATGAACATCTGCATACCGGAAAGATTTCGCTGCAGTTAAGTTTCCGCTTTTTTCGTCCTTCATGAGGGTGAGTTCATCATGACACCAAATACTAGTACACAGTTTATCAAATAAAGTAATTACATGTGAAGGACGAAATGAATACAAGGTGGAGATGAATTTTACCAGTCAAGGGCGAATGATTGACCGAGAAAAGTTTCCCGGAACACAGCATTGCGTATTGTAAATTATCATCCATTTATAAATGACGAATTATTACAACATAAAAATGGTATACACTTTTAAGTTACACTGATTTGTTATGATACATTATCCTTAGAAATGCTTGTAACTTTGAATTTATAAAAATGTTCTCACCTACATCATGATATTAAGGTCAAGTGCTCACCATGCACGAACAAGCCCGAATATGATGAAATGACTCACCTGGAGTATTTCGTCAAAAAACAAAATGGACACACATACTACCAATGCGACTTCAAAGGCAGTTAAAGTTGTGCCGAATCGGGACAGAAGGGTATAGGCAAATAGCATAAGAAATGCTACATAGATCATCTGAAATGTCAATCACACATGTTTTTCATTTCATTTAAGAACATGCCGTCATTTTATATTTTGCCATTTAGCAATTGGATAGTTGAAGAAAAAAACATGAAAAAAAGGAACAGTTTGTTTCGTTCATGGTATTACGTCCTCACACCAGCTAAGATATAGTTTGGGTTCCCCTTGACAGAATATATGGTAGGAAACACATGGTTATGTAGCTGTTCAACATAGGTTGTCTCTTACGCTCCTGGACAGTGATGCAGTAGGTCTATTGTAAGTGTAACTCACACAGAATCACAGTATGTTAGCTTCTTTATCGATGACACCAGCCATGTAAATCTAAGTCCAATCTAAGTAATGTTACGACCTTTTAGCGAGAACCAATCTAATGGCAACGAAACAGCAAGGCACACGTATGAAAACAATGAAAAACAAATTGACCTTCGTGTCACACATATAAAAGTCGTTAATATCCACATATGAATATGCACTTAGTTTGCTTCATATCTTTAATGGTAAAAGTCCTCAATGTGTATTTTGATATATGAAGCAAATTAAAGAAATCATAACTAATATTCATAAGAAGACATTTAAGTATCAAAGAGATCAAAAGAATCTTCTCTTACGTTTAGGGTGTGACAGAAATAATCTCCAATCGGAGGGGTGATTTGTTTGAATGTCTAACAAACAAATAATCACTTCCAAATTGGTGATTTCTGTTTAACTCTCAAAAAAGGAATTGTTTATTTTTTCTATGATTTCAGTAGTCTAGCTTAAGTATAACTAAAGGCACTTTTAGCGTGTAAATATCGCCATTCACCTTTCAACACGTCACAATTGCCGTTCAATTTTTTCACAATTTGGACAATGCTATTTTACTTAAGGCTATATAACCCTACGGAGTAACAAGCTCATCATTTCCGACTAAAACGGGTGAAACGCCTCTGTAGGGTGAAAGAAAGAGTTGCCTATTCAAGAAAGAAAACAAATATCTAAATCGTATCATACAGCTCAAACATTGTTTGCATTAAGTAATATTTTATCAAATGTACATTGCAATATAACAAAACTACATGAAGAATACTTACAGAGTTCCCCACGAACTTCACTACGGGTGCCTTGTAGAAACTTATAATCTTGCCACAGTAGGTTGATCTAAAACAAATATAATCACACAAAAATAAATAAATCTATGCATATCAAACTTTTTACTGACAATCCATAGTGCCAATGAACATGTCTAGCGGGTTTCCGTTATTTTATTATTTCATCATATTATCATACAGTATATTAATCCTCAATAATCGAACTAGTTGTTTGCCAAAATTTTAATACCATGATAACGTTTTGTGAGCCGTATGAAATTAGCTTAACGCTTTAACGCGTAATAGTTTATCGTATCAAAAGCTGGTCCATTGCAAAATAAGCTTAATATATTTACCTTCCAGAACAGCATGGACTGGTGGATGCCTTTCCGTTGCAATTATGAAATAGATAAGACCCAAACACTAAATAAGAGAATATACAACGAGTTTATACAATTCTAGCTTCAGTTTTATCGCTGCAGTTTTATTTATTTCCTCGACCCAGTAATGAAGGCGAATTTATCATCATAGCGAATAAAAGTAATCAGACTAATAAAAATAGCGAAAATTGCTTTCATAGGCGACAAGCGAAAATTTCAATGGGCAAAATTTTCCCAGTATACAGTATATATGTTTGCATGTATTTTCAAATCTGCAAAGAATTGACAATTTTTGGATCATGTTTATCATGCACTGACAAAACCGAAATGGACAGTTTACCATATTAACCATATAACTTCTTTTACAGATTGAGCCAATTTTTAATAAAATGGGTAATACGTGAACCATATTGCGTTACAATAGCATCATATTTTCTCGTACAGTTGCTAAACACCACCTTGTGATTTGAAGTTGTTGGATTTTATAAAAAAAACATTCCGAGATGATCAATATCGCATTGCCTGGAATTTGATAAGCTTACAACATCCAGCGAAAATTTCCCAGTATCCAGTATGTCTTTGTTTATCATTTGCATAATTAAATACACAACTTGGTCGTAAGCAAGATAGATTATTTCACTTTACTGACCTTGTTTTGTCTTTGCTCGTTCTCATCATCTATCTTGAATCTGATGAGGCACGGTATTAATAGTTGCATTGGTGGCACAACGCACAGAGGTATTGTTAGCTGTATCATATATAAATGTAAGGACCCATTAGTTTTATAATAATATATATTGGATGCTATACTATGCAAACCTCTTTCATTGCCCTATAACAAATTAATCTCTGGTCAGTGTATTGTCATCTCCACAGCAATTGTTATGTAGCTCATAACATGGCATAGAACATGGTAAAATCTTAAGTTCCTTTTTTGTGTTTAAGAAAAAAGTCCAAATGAATTGGGATATTTGGATAATCTACATTCAAATTAGAAACATCTTCTTGTGAATCATGAATTTTCATACCAGCCTACCATTAATCAACTCCTCTGACATTTGTGCTGAAATTTAGATTAATGTTATAAGATTTGGTTTCACTCTTAATTTTTGCATTATAAACTTGACGAAAGATAACAAAAGTGCCATTCACAGACACTTAGTAGTCTTTCAGTTTTAATTTGTGTTTGTCCGAATTAATCACTAGGCTTACTGACAGTCAAAATAACATAGTAGATCTATGAGTGTTATAAACGTTATACAAAGTACTAAACGACACTGTTGAAGTATTATCATTGACGATAATTGGTGATATTTGTCACAGTGTGAAAGACATAAGTTTTATCAAATTGATAGAATCCGATATTTCACTGGCAAAAATGTTATAAATAAGTAGCATCCTCACCCCTGTCCATCGATTGATTAGAGACAACTCGCCCATCCACTCTTTACTCAACACTGATTGGAAGAAAGGATGGGTGACAAAACTCTTGTTTTCGGTTATCCATGCGATCTTTCTGCATGTCGCATTACCCCAATCCTCCATTCGTGTCGCCAGCATGTCCATAGTCTTCTGTTCATTTGATTCTTTACACTTGGTCAACATTGTTTGTGCAAGCTGGCAAAATTCACTGTCAAAAAAATGGTCTTATAGATAATTATTATATTTGTTTTGAGGCAAATCAAAAATAAATAAAGCACTGCTTCAACATTTAAGACCTTAATAATACTGCACAAATAGAAATTATTAAAGTGTGGAAACATTTGCGTCTTTCGCATTGGGTGAATAAGCGCGAAAATATCCACAGAAGACCATTTATTTATAATTGATATAGATCGCCAACGCTAATATTTCTGCAACGCGATCAATTTTAAGGGTTACAATACGAACATTTCAATACGTGAATATTCTCACATTAACAATAAGTAACCAATTAATCTCCGTTCACACGCACGCCATGAACAAATATTGTGAACGAGCTCTATACAACCTCTAAAACTGGTGCTCATTGATTTATTACAAATCAAACTCTGTTGAGCGATATCGTGTAGTGTACACGCAAAATATAGCATCGATTTCATCTGCAACTTGAAACGGTCATTTATTTCATTATATCACAATATCTCTTTCAAATTCTTGATAAGTCGTAAAAAAGTATAAATCAGTATAAATTACTTCAGACTTACTCTGCATTGTCGTTCAATGACGCTTCCAAGTCTTTGTTGTCAATCACAAACGCCATTTTCTTCAACAAACCGTAAGCGACTAAAGCGGAGGCGACTTGGTCCTAAATAACATAAAGCGGAATGATATCATAAAAATCTGGAAGTTATTGCTTGCGCAGATTTTTGCAGACGATGGCCGAACGTTGTGCGATGACAATCGTGGTTGGTGTAAATTGAGAAATAGCTTAACAATGTAAAAGGCTTCGTGTTTAAACATATCAACTTGTTTTTAAAAACATTGCTATATTCTAGCTACATCTATAAGCTGATCTTTCTATTTATATTATCTAAAATTTAGAAATGGTGTTTTCGGTGTTTTTTAAACGACCCAAATCGACACATGTAAAATAACACATATTGACACGGTCTGTACCAGGACCATAGTTTTCCACACTCGGGGCACTAACGTAAATCGCCATGTCGAGAAAATCCAGGTGAAGCGGAGCAATAGTAAAAAACCAATGAAAATAACAAATACTTAACGTCCAGTTGTGTTTTCATAACGGTCATACGGTATCACATATCAGCTCTCTTTGTCGGGCACAGGTTGGGTAAAACTGCGGTGAATCATTCAAAAGTTATTTCCCGTTCTGTTTCCAGGGAGCTAAACCCGTTCCTGACAGGCAAACGGTTACTGTAAAGCTGTATTATACGCATGGTAAAATTTAACATAATCCTAATTAATTTAATGGGAATTTATATATACAGTGTTCCTCATTCCATTCGAGGATTCCGATTTTTTTGTATTCCGTAAAATTGATCAACCAATTCTACCAAATCGCAAACTTTTGCCGAGCACAACGGGGCGAACGATTGTTAAATCGCACAGTTGTGCGCACCACGTGTGGACGATGTGCATACGGTGTGTGCACGATGTGCGCACGCTAATTTTGGTGCGTTGTACTACATATTAGTGTACGGAGTTCCGCAAAATCACTATGGAATCACGCGTAAATATTTAAAGCAGTATAAAAGGAAAACAGTACAAAAGGATTGGAGCATTTGAGGAATTGTGTATGGAATTAAAGAAGAGTTGTAACGTAACAACACAAGCTTTTATACATGTCTTACGTCAATTGTACAACGGATTTATATGAGTTACATTAATGTATTGGAAAAAGTTGTTGGATGATCGAAAACAGTCTAAACAGTTACCTTTCCATATTTCCAAAAACGCTTTGCCATCTCCTGTCTGTTTGACAAGACACACCATAGAAACAAGTGTAGAAATGGGTTGTCTGATGCCACGTCTGCTGATTTTGTATATGTAGGGTGGACGTCATAAAATTGTCCGAGAAGATGTGTGATTAATTTTCCAATATTCTCCAAACATGTTTCCTGTGAGTAGAACAAAAAAATATACAGTGAAATATCAATGTAAAAGCTTCCTTTCAATTGTGTTTGCGCTTACCTCAAGCGTGTTTCAACGTTCCTTTACCTATACAAGTTAAATTCCCCACGATATATAGAAATATTTTTTCATAACGTTCAAATATCACATAATACACAATTACCCACGTTTCATTTGCTTTTAACATGGTTCACAGTTTACCAAGCCAAACTATCAGACGTGTACCGCCACATCGACGTCTTAAATAATGTCAATATCTATAAAGCGGTACAAACTGTGGCAGTGTAACGAAGTTTAGTTCACTAATCAACGGATGATATGAAAGAATGCTTGCAATTAAATGGAAAACCCGTTTTGAATATTATAATTGCTTAAGATTTACTTTTTCGTATAGATATATAAATGTGTTTATTTATGATTAGAGTTATTCCAAGGCCAAATATTTTATATAAAGTTTGGAAAACATACTGTTCGTGATCCATAATTGTAGGCGTTTACACTTTCTCATACTCACATCTTTTCCTAAATCGGTTATTATCCGAGCTTTCGACAAAATGGTTCTCAGAACACCGTCACTTGGAATCTGTGGATAAAGTATATTTGATTTACTTTAAGTGATATTTACTACTCATATATAAAAATACATAAAAGAGTTTGCAAGTGTTATTTTAAATTCAGTAAAACACGTTATACTGCCATCATTTGACATGAAACGTTTTGGCGTTAGAAAGGGGTTTGGCTATAATTGAGGTAACTGTATAAAGGAATTCTTCAGAAAACGAGAAAAAGAGACATTGAAATATGTTGGCAGCAAACAAGGTGACAAATAAAATAATGGGCATTATATCGAAGTTTTATGGAAATATTATATTTTTATAGGAAATGTGATCATTACTATATTAATAATGTAAATCATTGTATTTTCGCGGGATTATTAATTCCATCGACGATTACTTTAATAGCTAAATCCTATATGCATAGATCTTCAAATAAAGATCAGTACAAAATTCGGTGATTTACGACTTAAAGACATATTCAGATACATAAACATAATACAAAATGTATGTGACCAAAAATAACATTTAAATATTCATTGAACATTCTAAATTACCAACCTCAAGATACAGTTTTTGGAGCATTTCCTTCGTCAAATAGCTTGTCATGTCCTTGCCTTTTACGAGAAAGATATCCATGAAGTCACATCTATCCAACACCAGAGCAGATGTTATCATCTCGTTGTCATCGAAAACGGTTTTGAGATTCTCTCTCTACAAATATGTTACAGCAGACAGTTTTTACAAAACATACAGTAATATCTGTCTTTGAAATTGTTCCTTGAATTTTCTGTAACTGTAATATTAGGCAGGGTAGTCATCGGAAACTGTTTTAAGATTATTTCTTTGAGAATAAAATGCAGCAGAAAGTCTTTCCAAATCATTCAATAATATCTGTCTGTGAAATCAGACAGACAGACAGACAGACAGACAGTATATAAACATAATGTTTAGACTTACGCTTATGTTTTGCATGATATCACTGGCAGTGTCGATTCTGTTCCAGTATAATGCAAGCTTCAGCTGACTAAGGTCCTTGTTTTCCCGCTTCACTGTTGAAAAACATAATTGATAATAAAAGTCTACATATTAATATTAACATGAAAAATAATACATATAAATAGCAAGATGCAGGTTCAATTCTTCTTGTTTAAAATCTAAAGGCAGGAATGACAAAATACTGTGAAATCAGATATTTCCGCGAGGCCCAATATCTAGGCGTCTCAACAACATCCTGTATCATGGGTACAAGAATGTGTGGTTTAAGAGTATCCGGTCATACGTAGAATAGCTTTATGTCAAACCTAAAATTACTTCCTTCCTGGACCTACAAATTCGTGGATGAAGGGAACTAACGAAAACCCATGAAAATTAGCGATTTCACAGTATCACAATATTCTTAAATGACAGATAAAAGGTGGAAGGTGTATATGTAACTTTTAAATTATTAAGATATATATTTATGCCGGACAAGGTGTGTTTTTACAGGGTAGCGGTTTTCTCCCACATTTAAATCACTTGTGCGCTTACAACCGAACTAATAAGAGTGATGAATATCCTTGTAAATTCTCAAAAACTTGATTCATATTTGTTATAAAATGAATGAAGCTAAACAACCTAAAATATACCAAATTCATATAATGGCGTTTACCACATATATTTACAATCAGTGTGTATAACAAAACAGATATATAGGAGTAGTTAAGTTCGACTTGTCGGTAACTTTTATTAGGTAAATTTGTGAGATCAAAGTTCATTTGAATAAGAAAATTGATATTGGCAATCACAATTTTAAAAAAAAACTTCATTTCGGACTTCGATTAATTAGAATACGTGGTCTATTTATGGTGGATCAAAACCATATATTTTGTTTATTGTATATTTTAAAAAGCACTTTACATAACTTCCCATTTCAATACTGTCATACAGGTAAGAATCGTAAACCTGTGAAACTGATAACATGCCATGCAATATTCATTACTTCTATATGCATTTTATCCATAAAGTGGCATAAGGAATACATAGACATTTTTCGCAAAGTTAGCCTTAAAAAGATTTCTTAATTTCAGTATACATGTAGTTAGAATAGTTTGGATTCTGGAGAGTGATAAATACTCAATATAATATTAAATGTACTACGAATCATGTTTGAATTTTATTGACCTACCGTCCTGCAGAGCCATTAAGATAACATCACTCATATCATTTGGCATATTTGAGGTGTCCGTCATATCAAATATTTTGATCAAATGTCTCTTCTCGATGCATGCGTGCACAGCAGCTCTATGCTCTTCGGTTACGCCAGTTAATTTTCTGAACTCCATTTCCCATCTTAATCTTAAAGATTAAAAATATTGATAAACACATGCGTTATCATAGATATAAGGTACGATTATGACATCTCCTTTTGATAAATCTATCCAATTTCAAAATAAATGTTCGCATATGACTTTGTCGAACTATAGATATACTGTCTGGAAAAAGTGAAAAGTTCAGCAAATAACATTTATTTATTATGAAGATTGTATACGACATGACATATTCAACGTTCCTGATATATTAGGTATTGTGAAATATCCAGTCATTGTCTATAAGTTGTTTTTGTAATTTATCTGCAAGACAAAATCCGACATAATGTCGTCACTGGTATTAGATATCATTGCTTATGTTCATTATGTCTAACAAGTGATATGATATGTTTCCGGATACAAAAACAGATACAAACAAACCCAACAACATCTTAAAAAACATTTAACTTGTCGCATCGTCATTTTGATATAAATGCTGTAATGAGTGAAGTAATATTACTTCTCTGCTTTCTCTTTCCCTGCACATTCACAAGCTAAAACCAATACGTCAGCAGCTTTTCCAGAACCCTACAATAATAGCAATATTATTATCCAAATCCTTCCTTTTTCACCTTTTTCGAAAAAGATATTATAACATGTTGAAAATACAAATAATGTATTAATCTTAATAATGGTGTTTTCCAAAATGATATATTCATAGTTCACTGTGTGCCTAAATTATTAACGACCATGTTTAGAAAACTGACAAAAAAAAACCCTGAAGAAGGGTGTCGAATACTTGAATACCCCTCCATTAGATTTTATAAACCATCGAACAATCAAGATCTCACGCAAGCGTTGATTCTTTTTATTTTTTGTTTTCATTTTCTTAATCATTTTTGTATTACCTTAATAAGCACTGTTGGTATGTCGTTGTCAACGGCCTCCTTCACAGTTTTAATTGTGTTGGGTCCTCCCTCAACAACCAATAGAACGACAGGAACCATAGCCTCTATAGGAAACAAATTGACCTTAATTGATTTTATTTGAATGCAAATTGAAACTCAAAACGATGTTTGATAATAAAATCAAAATGTATTATTCCTTTACAGGTAAACAGATCCTTAAAATAAATATATTGCAATTTATTTTCCTTGCAAAACATTTGTCAAAATGCTGATCTTACAATGGACGATATGACCATAACTGACAGAAATGTGTTTATTTGGTTTGACTTATTTTTATCAACAGACTGTTTTGCTTTAATAAGTTCTTCCTTTATTTGCTTTTCTGCACTATCATACGCCATGTAAAGACATCAATGAGCTAGTTATGATACGTACTTGTATCAATAGCAAGAATTCTCAAAAAAGTATATTATTATAATTTACCTTTTCCTGAAGTTCTCAAATTTGAAACTGCTTTTTCGATTCCGGCTCTAAATAATATCTCCTTCCCGAATTGCTGAGGTGTTCCATCATCCACCAGAAGAAAATGAGTATGATTTGGGTCCAAACACGTTTCATTTCCATTTGAATTTGTCTCTTTAGGTGTACGATACACTTTATCATTGCCAATTGCTTCTCTTAAGTCTTCACGATATGCAACCACGCCAAATGTCGCAATTCCTAAGGCAACCACGGAGTTTGCTGTCAGGAAATTGGCGTCACGGATCGCCTCACCAACCTCTTTCATTATTCCACAATCACTTCCGCCACTTACAACCCACATATCTATTCAAATCAATGTGTGTGATAGGGTTAGTTGTAATGTAATAAAAGCGTGTCACACTATACTGAAAACCTAACCAGTCTGGTCGTCAGTGTCAACTAAAGGATTTTCGTACCATAGCCAAACGACTATTGCTATGCATTCAAAACCTATTTTTGCGGCTTGATTATATGTTTGAAAAAGCATTTCTGAAAGAAAACCATACCTTCAAGATTTCTAAACATATAGTGATGAATATATCTAATAATAAATGAAATGTTCTGTGGGAAAAGAATCATAAACAATCAAATAAATAAATGAATAAATAGATAAATAAATAAATAAAGCAAAAGAGCAGACCAGACCGGATCTTCCATCATCTTAAAATGGTTAATGCACGAGGATTAGTGAAATGGATAACAACGATACGTTAGAGTGTAAAGATAAACACGCTAGTGTCATATTGAACGTATTGATGAATCATGGTAGGACCTGTAACTTGTCGAAACATATAACAAGCTGTAAATGAGAAATGGCCACCCAGAAATACATACCGATTGTCCTGGCTAACTTGATTAGCTCCCTCTTAAATATTGTCCTTTTGTGAGTAACCAAATCAAAGGATCTAGCCCCTCCTGTCACCGAGATTAAGACGTTCGGTGTTTTGAGGCCCCATTTCTTCATCAAACATTTTAATATTTCGTCTGCACCTTTGTCATCACCATTCTCTTGTGATGTCTTTTTGATGATTGCAAACTATAATGAAAGGACGTCGTTTTAGGTATTTAAACGTTATTTATACCCCAATGATATTATCATCCCAGAGTAAATATAATAATAGAAAAAGAATATCGATAATGATAACGATAACGATGCCAATGATAAATATAATATACACAATATTGATCAAGAGATAAAGATGCATTTACGTTAACTAAATGTATTACGTGTCATAACGTCCAAATCGTTAAAAAAAGTGATTTATACTTGCCTCGAACGGCAAATTGTTGATGATTTATTGTTAATTCCAGTTTGATAAAAGAAGCGAAAAAATATAATAATGTACAAACTAAGATTTACATTAGACAATTGAAAAAAATTAACATGTTTATTAATAGTATCACATTTAGTCATTATATAAAGGAAAAAAATGGCCTGATTAAGTGGAAGTTACTTTTGTATGCCATATTTCTTTTCGTTAATAAACAGCTTCAAACATTTTTTTATCAAACATGTGATCCCGGAATGACGTCAGAAATCCCGAAATCGTTATCATTGCAGTAAGTGTTTATCTACGCATTATAGTTACGTATTGGTTTATGCTAGCTTGATGCGACGAGAAATCAAGTGTCGTATTATTATCAAACTTTTTCGAAGGCGCTCAATCTATAATAATTGTTACTTCACTTCGAGTAATGCAAATAACATAGAGATGAAATATTACAATAAAGCCAATATTCACAAGTTACAAATGTTTTTTTAATTGTCATTATTTGTTTTTTACATCACCCCCTATTTCTGAGTTCCGATTCGTGTCTGTCTGCGCTCAAGCATGATATATTTTATTTTGTTCGTGTAATAAAATAATTAAGCGGTATTGTGTAGGGTATCATTATTATTAGTGTAATATGCTTGCCTGTGAAACAAAGTGTGAGCAAAATGTGAGTCCGACAATTAAGTCATATCTGTTGAGCGTTTTCGTTTCGTAAAAAAATAGTAAGATAAAAGCAATCTGGTATTGAATATTCGACACGTCTTTGGGGTTTTCATCAAGCACATGATTGGTTTATTTTTAATGAAATTGTCGTATTTGAATATTGTTTGATATTGCCAAATGTATCTTTGCAAACAAAATCATCATTGTTACCGTTCAAACGCCTACTATTGTTCTTAGATAGTTTGACAAAAAATGTCTAAATGAATTAAATTAAATCATCCGAAAAAAAAGAACATTTTAAAAATGATGAGCGAACATCATTAAGAACTGTAACCCATTCCCTGAAATCTATAAAACAAAATACACAAAAGCCTTGTTATAAAGCCACCATTTGTTCTGATAAATATTGGCATTAAAAAGGGGTTTGGCAATAGATTAAGAGAAATTTATAAAGATATTCTAAAGAAAACGCGAAAAAGGGTCTTTGAAATATATTTTCGGTAAACGAGATGGCAAAGGAACAAGGGCATTTCATCGAAGTTCTACTTTATATTCTTTATAATCTAGTCAGTGATAGATTACTAGCGTTATTGAGTTATATTTAACTATTTAACTATACTAGAAATAAATTCAGAAATAATAGTAATTACTTATCCTAAGCATTGTTTCAACTACATGAATCATTTAATGTGTATTTCTTGTTTATAGGGGCTTATTGAGATAGTATATTATCACATAACTGTCTACATTATACGGCCATGTCATACACATTGTATACACACGTGTAATAAAACCTAAAGGTGCTGCGATTGGTCAAAACCGTGGGAACATATTCCTACGCCACTACAGGTACGACTGTTATATATTATAGAACATGATGTATTTATTGTTATTCTAAATGAAACTGACATTTTTATTTTGTCATTATCATTTTCATCATCGCACTTTAACATACATTGGTTTTGAGTCAGCTGATAAAACACAATTATGTTTAAAAATTAATAATGTTATCTGATGAACAGAATATTATATACCCGTCTTAACTCATCGCAATCTGTAAATACTATTTTGCCCGTTTTTCCGTTCCAACTCCATCTTTCTGTCGAGTTTGCTCCTCCCATAATGCTCTGAAATAATAAAAAAAAAAATGCCAAATTTATGTTTGATTGTGGAAATTTCAAATTTTAAAATAGAGCATTTGTCAATCTTGAATAATTTTAACATTTGATGCATATACAATGTATGTTTAATTCATTTTTATTTAAATATTTTTGATTATTAAGTTGAAGTAAACATGCTTGTAATACATGTATTAGAAACGGTAATATTAATTTATAATTTCTCCTTTCTAAAAACTTCAAAACTATTTTGAATGATGAATTTCACTAATACTCATGTATTACCCATATGAAGAGATGATATGAGATGCCGTCTGATCTACTATCTTTTGCTTTACTTAATCTTTTTTATTTCCTTATGGCTAAACTCAAGTGCCTGTGTAAATAAACACTTATGAGAAAATGTACACGTGTATTTCTATCATTACAGGCTAGACATTAAAAGTACTGGTA